TTCAAAATACACACACAATTTTTAATTTCAATCATATTTGCAGTTTGAGCCGACTTGAAATACGTAAGCTTGCCTAATACAAAAGTTTACTTTATTGAAATTATTTCATTCTTTTTAGAGCGTTTAAAGTCGGTTGTATTTAAAAAAAAATAAATCATTTCATGATTTTTAGTGACTGTATAATTTTTTATACTTGAGGTTTTTTGATAAGCAAAACTGTTTGAAACAATCAAAAGTTCCACAGAACAATCATTATTTTAAAACTGCTTGAGTCACCTGTTCAGGTTACATAATCAATGGGTATAAAAATAAACATTTTTAGATATTCCTTAAGAAAAAAAGAGTTGTCCATTACATTAGGCCTAACCTAATGAAAAACTAATTGTCTTTTCTAGATACATTGAAATGTCAGACATCATCGTTTCCTGCAATCGGTGTACTTCTACATTATAAAAAGAAATACAGTAACGTCTCAAGGATTTTGGAACAATATGAAAGGTTATTCCTCAGCTACCAGCACTAAAAAATCCCTCAAAAGTGAAAAATTTGTCGTTAACACGTATAGCACCTTTGGAAAATATTATATGAAAGATTGGTTCAGCTAAAAGTGGTGTAAGCCATGTAGGGGGTTTTGTTTGCTCAAGATATAGCCTAGTCGAAATTGCGAATCGTCTTCCTCTAGGACTTTCCGAATCCGAAGCAGGCATAATAGTATTGATATGTTATAGTAACTGGGTAGAGAATATTAATAAACATTCCACATCTGCAAATGAAATATGTATATGAAAGATTGGTTCAGCTAAAAGTGGTGCAAGCCATGTAGGTGGTTTTGTTTGATCAAGATATAGCCTAGTCGAAATTGCAAATCATCTTCCTCTAGGACTTTCCGAAGCAGGCATAATAGTATTGATATGATATAGTAACTGGGTAGAGAATATCAATAAACATTCCACATCTGCAAATGCATGTTTAGTAATAAAAATATTTAACACTTGACAATTGACGATTATGCACTGTCACACTTCTTAGGTCGTGTAAGGAATAATTTCATTTAATTTATATTTAGACCTGTTTTACGAATGCTTTGGTTTTCACAATACACCTTTATTTGTCAATATCATACAGCTATTCACTGAAACATACATGTATAGTCACCAAAACAAAATGCATTTTTCTCAATGTAATTCATTTAGGCTCCATGGCAAGAAATAGTTTATTGATCAATATGAAGCAACTGTTTCATGAAGAATTGTCTGTAGCTTCATTTAAATGGTTTCAACTAACAGCTCGTATTATTATTTATTGCCTTCTCTGCACAAAAGTAAACAAAATAAATGTTGAATATTTAAGGTTTTCAGAATTTTTCACCGAAACAAATATTATACTCAAACATAATATATAAGGTACCAAATAGAAACTCTCCTGGTTATTTTGGTCGTGGAACCACACTGATCGGTAAAAGAATCACAGAGAAATTGGTGAACATACATAGAAAAAAAAACGTCGCCACAAACAAATTGAGAACCTCCTCCTTTTGTTGGTAGTGGGGAAGTCGGTTAAAAATTGAGGACGAATTTGTTTAACATCAAATTATGTGGTCTTATTTTGAAACGATCAGAAGGTTATTTTCACAGTATGAAGAAAATAGTTGTTCATTTACACTGAGCGAAAATGTCTTTTAGGTAATAAATCTTATTTCCAAGCTCGGCTGAGCCTCACTTGTAAAACCCAATTACGTACCTAAAAGAGCCACTTACGGTCCTAGTGATGAAAACTACTATTGTATAGTTAATGGTGGTATAGCAGTAACTCAAGTATCGCAAAAACAAAATTGTACCACATTACATCTGTTACATGTTCCTTATTCGTGTGCAGCGCGGGTAAACACACTATTTAGATGTGAACAGTGATCATGGACTTCAGCAACGGTGAGAGAGAGAGAGATGCGGAACGATGACGTCACAGAGGTAATCTAATGGGCGAGGTGGCATCATTTGACCTCCATTGTCCTCCGACCCCGCAACTAGACCTCTCACAAACGGTTATCGTTCAGTGGGAGCAATGGAAAAAGTAATGGCTGGATTAATTTGGAAACTCGCAAAAATATGTTTTCTTCTGGCTGATGTTTTTTTTCTAGATATATGCACAGATAGCTAAGGTTGGCTCATAAAAACTGTTCAACTGTGTTGTTAGATATATGAACTAAGAAATAAAATGTGTTTAGCGGGATTCGAACCCAGACGCTTGAGAACAGAAGACCCGCGATTTAATCACCACACCAGTCTCGGTATTAAAATTCCATAATGAGTCCGAAGTTGACAACGAATAAATATAAGAAACCATTCTAAAGCAGAACTGCCGAACTACGATTATTCAGTTAATGCATGGTTTTAGTTTAAATCAAATGCAAGCAAAACTAGGAGATTGGAAAAAGCAAAACTATTTACAAGAATTACAAATAACAATAACTGTCTTTAATGTAGAAATTGAATATAAAAACAATACAACGTTTAAATGTTAAATGAAAAATCCTATATTAATGGAAAACAACTTGAACAAAAAATACTTGTAAGGTTACCATTGAGTTTGTATACAGTAGTAAAGTTGACATTTATTGCTGTACCAAGTTTTTTTTCACACAACAAGGGTGCAGGAGCCGCCTATATTTACCACTATTGACGTTCACTTCCCGTTTTAAATAGCCATAGGTAAGACTATACACTTCAGTTAGGTATAGAACTAGCTGCTATTTCCCTTTAGAACGACTTTAAACTCTGTGTATAAAAAATGTTACGGTATACAACCGCACACTATGTTGGCGTTATTTCATTACAGAACTGGTGACATGGGAAAGGAATGTCCACTGTCCACTTCGCAGTGTATAGTCAACGTCTCCTCCCGCCATTATATAAATTGGAGGGTAAACAAAATCATCATACCATCACACAGTCATGGCCGTAAGGTTGGCAGCCTTGAGAGTATCTCACGGTCGTACAGACCGCAACACGTGGGACATGCTGCAACCTATACGAAACCTGGAGTTAGAAAAATGAAATCTGATTGCGCCATAGTTGAATTCTCGCGAGTCTAAATCAAGTTCTCCGATTACAATGGGGAGATAGTAGAAGGGTAGAAATGAAACCAACTTAATATATTTCAATGAATGGCTCAGAATCTGCAAAACTGAAAACTCGAAGTATTTCTAAATTTTTCAACAAAAAAAATTTGGTCTCGTCTTTATTGATTCCTTCGGCGTTTGGGCTTCATGAGACTGCAATATTCTTGGTAGAGCCTCGTGTAATGGAGCTATTGAAAAACGTATACAGAGGTGATATTTGTCTTCTTAACTTTACAGAGGTGCATTTTGTACGTATAATCTGTAAATGAATGCAGGATAAATTTGTTTAAATACAATATTCATTTTTAGGGAGAGACGGGAAAATGCGTTTACGCACACAGTTGCCCAGCCAGCAGTGTGGAGCTCCATAACCTACCCAGTGAAAATACAAGATTATAGATGAATAGAATGGAATATTCAGTATCATTTAGTCACTATAATTTCAGTGGTTTCTTTAACTAGGACAATATATTAGATTATGAATGATCAAGGACGTCTATCCAGTTTTGAACCAAAAATACACCCGCCGCAGCAAACCTGCCGACTAAGCGAATTTCCATTTGCCTTAATTTATTTTCAATTAAATCTATTTAAATAACATTAGGTTTAACAAGTACCTAGGTTTGCTGCCCCAATGAAACTAAAAGTGTGATTTTTATTAAAATATTAATAGATTAGTATAAAATAAATAAATTTGCCAAGTTTGATCAAAATATATGCATAAACAAGCAAACTACAAAATTTTACAATATTCCCCATAAGAATAACATGGTAATTTTCAATTTACAATTTCTTGAATTATCTCCGTTACCAATAACCGTAAAAACACTTTGATATACTAAATTGTTTGCTTTTTTAAGCTCTTTAAAAAAAGGAAAGAAAAATTGGGAAATTTTGTGGTTTAAGGGTGAAAATGAGAAAACCCAATTTTTACACCATAAACCCCCCCTAAAACCCCGTTCCCATTTTTTGATCATGCCGGTTCGCGAACTCATTCAAGTTTATCTCGCCTTACACTTTTGAACCAAATTTCAGCAAAATCGGACAAAAATTACTCGAGTTATCGCGTTCACGGACACATATATAACCCTATATATATAAATGTCTTCGAATAGCGTTTTTGGATTCTAAGGACATCAAAACGAAAAAGTAATTCGGTCCCGGGTCTAAGTCTTACCGTGCCACCTACGGTAATAGCTAATTCCCTATAGGGAAATACGGTAATAATTATTGTGTACTATAATTTTCTCATGATTGAACCGGCGACCTTCTAGTTACCTGGGGAAGCTTTAAAAGTACTGTATTCAGAATAAAATCACACATTACTGTATTTTGAATAAGGATAATGTACAATCTATATGTAGTGTGGGATAAATTTAGACCATACACATCTTGAGATGAGTTGTAACAGGCATGTGGTATAATTCTGAACGTAAACAAGTGAAAACACTCAAATATATTTTGGCTTCAATCGCATTCAACAGTCTTAAAAATACGAAGTCCGATATGGAACATAATCACGCAATAAGACGAATTTATTAATCATGCTACTTAATTTACAACAAGCAACATCTCTATAAAAAGGAGATAGCGACACAAACAAACAATTTTTCACTAGATAAATTCCCAAACAGTTGAAAGCGACAACTCTTTTGAGTATGTTTTACATTATCGGTTACTTTATTTTATATTTTACATTTTAATCACGCATTAAGGGGGTTTACTTGCATTCTTATTTTACATAAAAAAAATTATTAATTACAACTTATTCCTTGAAGATTGACAATCTCACACGTCCGTTTTTAAACCTCAACAGCTTGCGACAACAATACATTTTACATTTCCCTTTACAGCAAATAGTACAGAATAGTTGAAGACTTACCAAATCCACGACTATAAACAGTTCTGGCATCTAACAGAAACAGACAAACCACAGCAAAACCTTTGCCCAAGTTAAGGAAGAGTGGTGTGGTACAGCAAGGCCGGTAAATTAACTCCCCCCTCCCTCCAGCGTGTCAAACAGCTGATTGTGAGGCCTACTGCATTTAAACTACACTGCAATTTGTCGATCGATTAATACAAAAATCCACGTACAGTAAAACCTCACTAACTCGACATTAAAAATAAACCCAACAAATGAATTAAAAATTTTAAAAAAATAACACGGACCTTACGGGTTTTCATGCTGGTGACGAAATAACAACACAATATAAACAGAAAATCAAAACAAATCGAATAAATTCCAATCACAGTTTTATTTACAGTGTTGGGTTTTGGGTGTTGGGGTTATAGAGAAATCTGTACCTCTGACTATTATAGTAATGTCTGAACATTACATATTTTTGGACGACCGCTAGTTTGCTTAAATTTCCGACGGATCACGACTTGTTGAAACTATGCCTTATTGCAAGAAAGTGGTTAAATGATGTCAAATGCCAATGTTTTCATAGCAGCGGCCGGTCTTGGATGGGTAAAAAGGTAACCGGGATAAGTTGTACTACGTAGTATATGTATGATACAAAACTTTGAAAATTCGTAATTTGCATTAACTTAATCCCTGAACTAAAACTATAAACTTGAAAACAAAATGCATTATGCAAATTATATTAAATGCAAAACTTGACAGGGTCATTAATTTGCATAGGAAACAATTGTATGTGTACAGTTAGGTTTTAACCGCAATAAGTGAAGTGGCTACGCTAATACGTAGTTTTGGGGTGGAAACCAATTTTAAAATGTTTGAAACTACGGAGTATCTGCAACATAATAACAAACTGTATTTATTTTGCGATTTATGAACCTAATTTGATGTTAAGAGATAGAGATGCCAAATATATCCAGGAGAAGATTATATCGATCAATTACATTTTTAATTTATGTGTTCTGACGCTAATTCATGTGAGCCAGGTTTTCCTTATCTCTGTCATGTTTGAGACGCTCCGAGACGCTCTGGCGGAAGAAGCTTTCCTTCCGGTGGTTGGTTGACAAGCAAAGAGCAAATTGCATATCTATAATCGTAGAGTATGTAGCCTTATATAATCAATGGTTGAATCTTTGAGTTTTCTTTCTTAAGAACTGGTCGTTGTAAAGAGCACAGAAAACGTACTACTATAACCCAGAATGCCAACCGCATGGTAAAAAGCATTAAGCGTTTTGAGAGAGCTTTGCCTGTCAATCCGTAGGCAGCGCCACCAGCGTTGCCATGCAATAGCATAGCAACGCTGGTGGCGCTGCCTACGGATTGACAGGGAAAGCTCTCTCAAAACGCTTAATGCTTTTTACCATGCGGTTGGCATTCTGGGTTATAGTAGTACGTTTTCTGTGGTAAAGAGGTAGCGGATTTTTATCCCCCTGATTTGTGACGTCACGTTTGCCCGGGGGGTTAAAATTCCAGCCGCGAACTTTTGAGTTTCGAGACATCGGTTCGATGGATTAAACACAGAATTAAACGTATATTTTCACGGTTTTGAATTTAATCAGAACACATCAAATTATAAAAACCTAGAGTGTACGGGCCGGAATTTTACCCCCGGACTTTTACTCCCTTCATGAGGTCAGCTCAAAATTTCCGCGAATTTTTACCCCCGGATTTTTACCCCCTGGCCAGATATATAAATATTGGTGATAATGGTTAATTATCTTCATTCAGTTTTAATTTAATAGTAAACATTTTATTGTTAAGTAGCCTATCTTAATTTATTTGTAACATCAACTAATCGAACAGGGTTTTAATTTTAATTTTGAGATTCGAGTATCAGGATTCGACCATTGAAGCCAACTGTTGGTTAATATGATCAAAATTAAACAGCAAATTCTGTTTACTTAGTTAAGATTACAAAATAAATAAATAAAGATAGGCTATTTAATAATAAAATGTTTACAAAATAAAATAGAAATAAGAAGATCAATCATCTATATATATAAAATCCAATGTATGTTTGTTTGTTTGTCCTTTATGGACTCCGAAACCGCTCGACAGATTGTAATGAAACTTTCAGGCAGTATTAAGCATTATTCATTATTCAGCATTATTCAAGGGTGGTTTGTGTGAAGTTTGGTGCAGATCCGTCAAAAGGGCTCCACCCCAGTGGCTCTGGAGTTTCCCATGTTAACCTTATGAGTACTCTATTTAAATGGAATTAAAGAATCTTTACAGCTGGTTCAACTAAAGAATTTTATTCTGTGTTGTTCAAAAGCATTTAAAAGTTAATAGGTTTTACCAACAGGGCGCAGCACTATTGTTTTTGTTTATTTATGACAACAGCTAATTTGCAACCAAAAGGTGAGTGAGCGTAGCGAACAAACTTCAACCTGGAGGTGAGTTAGCGTAGCGAACAAGCTAACCTGAAGGCAATTGAGCGCAGCGAACGAGCTCCAACCTAAAGGTGAGAGAGCGTAGCGAACGAACTTCAACCTAAATGTGAGAGAGCGTAGCGAACAAACTTCAACCTAAAGGTGAGAGAGCGTAGCGAACGAACTTCAACCAAGACGTGATTGAGCCATGCGATCGAGCTCATCTTGAAAATGAACGAGCATTTGACATAAAACCACAATAAGACAGTACGACGTCTGTCGGGCCAGCTAGTTCTTAATAATTTCTACATTCGGCCAGGGGGTAAAATTCCGGTTTTTATTGCTAATCTATAATTAATCACGCTCTGTCTATTTTAATTGGACTTCCAAATCCGCGGGGGTAAAATTCCGCCCGCGAACTAACTTTTGAGCGCTCAGGTTTTGTTCAAGGTTTGCTTGAAACAAATCGCAAGTCAGTGATAAGTTAATGATTATCAAAAAATTGATAATTGTCAACTTAACTAAGTAAGAGCAATAGAAAATTGTGAATTGATTCAAAATATATAACGGATTTGCTGGTTGCTAGTAAAATATATCACGGATTTGCTGGTTGCTAGTACATTAACAATCTGTATATCATTGCGAAGTATAATCTGTAATTATTAACACAAGACTCAGTAACAAAATAGATTACTGTGTGGTTATACAGGTGGTATATATGGTATATATATATATATGGTAAATGATGATCGATATAGATTGGCCACTCCAATCATCATCAGACCCAATAGGCGGATGAATAGGAAAAAGTTTTAGAAATCTTAATTTTGATCGTTCATTTTTCATTAGTACTCAGAAATTTTAAATATTCGCCATGTAAAACTATTATGTTTTACATGGCGAATATTTAAAATTTCTGAGTACTAATGAAAAATGAACGATCAAAATAAAGATTTCTAAAACTTTTTCCTATTCATCCGCCTATTGGGTCTGATGATGATTGGAGTGGCCAATCTATATCGATCATCATTTACCATATTTTATATGTATTTACTCTCTTGTGAGTAAACAATATAATTATCATTACAGTTGTTATTTGACGTGTTTTTGTACTGTAATGTAGGCTATTCATTTTCGTCAAATCCTTCATTTGTTAAAATAATTTGTATAGATGATTTGCTCTGTGTCATTGTCCTTTTAGTTATATCGTAGGTACAGTTATAGAAAGAAACGCACTATTTAACATTATGTTAAAGTAATTGTAATATTACTCCCTATTATATTATTTTACATTTTGTATGTACTCTGGAAATTGTCCACAACCCCAGAATTCCTCTTAATGTCACTTAAGCCAGTCTGTAACAAGGTTCATATCCTCAGGAAATGACACAGGAAGGAAGTCAGTTTTGGAGGTTAGTGAGGACACGTTTGAACCCAAACCTCAAGATGAGTTCAACGATGTCATTACACCAAGACTAATATTCTACAACTACGTGGCGTTTACGATTACATCAAAAAACTAAATACAGTAGGCTTGTACAGAATGAAAAGAAATTCTTTAGAAGTTCTGTTTGAAGAACATACAATAAATAACTAACATTTTGCATCTATGTCATTTTGAGTATATTTTACAAATTTTTACTATTTGGCATGTGTAATTTACATGAATCAAGTAATTCCAGTCCTACAAATTTTTACTATTTGGCATGTGTAATTTACATGAATCAAGTAATTCCAGTCCTACGGATGTTCATTGCACAAAAACTGTGAGATTCATGTGGAAGGCAAAAATTAATATTTTAATGTATTGATGGACTATATTTTGTGACAAACGAAAACAAATTTTAAAACCTTTCACCAATGACTAAGCTAGGACCTAGGCCTACATAAAAAATTAGATCCAAAATCAAGAACCAATATATAAATAGATTTTTTAATTTCCTACTACAACAATTTGACCCATTTTGCTATTTAAAGATGTTTTTGAAAAATTCATCAGGATATTGGGACATCATCTTAATCAATGTTTTTGGAACATGACAATTTTCTACTTTATTAAACTTGTTAACTCCGCTGTACCTTAGTGTGAAAATTGTATGGCATTATTTATATTGTGTGCAGTAAATCTAAATTGGGGGGAAACTGGTAAAGCACAATATTGGTTTAGTGACAACTAACCCGTGTTAAATTTATTGAAACACAAGAAAAGTTTACCAGATCAGCAATAAACTACGCTTATTACTTTAACTGGTCACTCATGTTACAGTTACCTATCTTAACTGAAAATCAATTAAATGTTGAAACAGTAATGACTAACAACATATTCCACCCCATGCAATACAGAGGTGAGAGAGACATGGTCAGGTACTACAGAGGACAGGAGACCATTGAAAAGATTGTGTGTGATGGTTTTATGAGGTTACAAAAGACCTAAGAAGAATAGGAGTAGACCTAGAGCTGGCAGAATACAGTGGATCCTGGAGTTAGAAAGTTGACGAGGCCAAAGACCACTTGGGTTTTCAATGGCCACAGAAATTAAGAGTAAGTAAGTGCTACATATAAACACAAAAAAAAACTCCAACTATTTAGAGCGTCTCTTATCTTATTTGGAAAAATACAGGACTACAAAAT